AGCCACGCGAGAGGCCACAGCCTCAGCAACAGCCGCGCGAGAGGCCACAGCCTCAGCAACACATAACTGTAGCATCACGTTACTGTTTTAGATTTTTGCCATTCTGAGAGATTGGAGAGGACATCCCAGTGTAGTTTTAATTTTTATTTTTCATTCTAAATGAAGTTGAACAACTTTTCACATCTTTAAAGATCATTTTTATATATTTTGAGAGAAATGATCTGTTCATGTCTTTTGCCCATTTTTCTATTGAGTTTTTGGTCTTTCCCCCTCGAATATTGAATTCTTTTCATATAAGAAATACTAGCTATTTATCTGTGGCATGCGGCACACACCTCCTTCCCAGTCTCTTAATTTTCTTTGCCTTTGTGGTGTTCTGGGCCATGCAGAATGCTATTATTTTCATGTAGTCAAATTAGTGTTTTGATTTGATTCCTAGAAAAATCTTTCCTTATTCCCAGGGTATGGAGGAATTCACCCGTATTTTCTTCTAGTACTTGTTTCATTTTTCACATTCAGATCCCGAATCCAGTGGGATGTTCTTTTGTATGGTGTGAGGTATGTGCAGGGGAAACTCTCCATGTCTGTTTCTCCTCTGCCATCACACCACAACAACTGTCCAGCACTGTCTGCACAGAGCTAGTTTCGCCTGCAGGGTAACAGCTCAGTCCCCAAGACCACTCCCTCCTTCCTGCCAGTTGCAAGTGTGCGCCTCTGGAACTTCTGACCAACCAGCTTCAAGCTGGAGTTTGATTAATTTGCTGCAGTGGCTCACAGAACTCAGGGAAATACTTATTTACATTACCAGTTTACTATAACAGATCTTGCCAAGGATATGGATGAAGAGATATGGTGTGGGAGGTCTGTGGGAGGGGCCTGGAGCTTCCATGTCCTCCCTGGGCACCACCCTCCAGTAACCTCCATGTGTTCTGCTCCAAAAGCTCACTGAACGCCGTTCTCTTGGTGGATTTTCATGGAAGCTTCATGACATCAGCAGGCCTTCCCCCAGGGTCTAGGGTGGGACCCTTTCAGGGGAGGGTCTTAAGACCCACAGTCAGCAAGGTGGGGACATCAGAGTGAAAGAAGGACAGGAGAAGGTGAGAGGCCTCCCTTGGGGCCCAGTGCACCCAGTTTGTAACAAAAGAGTAACGAGGGGTAAGGGAATTATGAGCCAGGAACCCTGGATGGAAACCCATTTATATATGTGATAGAACCAATGTGTACCATCACATGTATCGTAATACCGATACGTACCATTCACATGACTCATAACACCAAAATATACCAATCTAATGCCACAGTGTGGAACTCATTTTAACTTTTTCCAGATAGCTACTGAGTTGCCACAGCACCATTTGTTAAGAAGTCCAACTTTGCTCGAATGATTTGAGATGCCATCTATATTAGTCCGTTATCACACTGCTAGAAAGAAGTACCCACAACTGGGTGATTTATTTTAAAAAGAGGTTTAATTGGCTCACAGTATGCAGGCTCTGCAGGAAGGATAGCACCTTCTGCTTCTGGGAGGCCTCAGGAGATTTACAGTCACAGCGGAGGAGAAAGGGAGAGAGGCACAGCTTACATGGCTGGGGCAGGAGTGGGGAGAAGCACGGGAGGCACCATGCTTTTAAACATCCAGATATCACGATACTCTCTCACTCACTGTCATGAGAACAGCACTGAGGGGAGGGTGCTGGCCCATTCATGAGAACACCTCCATAATCCAATCACCCCCACCAGGCTGCACCTCCAACACTGGGATCACAATTTGAAATGAGATTTGGTGAGGACACAGATCCAAACCACATCATTCTGCCCCGGCCCCTTCAAATCACATGTCCTTCTCACATTGCAAAATAGGATTATCCCTTCTCAACAGTCCCCCAAAGTCCTAACTCATTCCAGCATTAACTCAAAAGTCCGAAGTCTTATCTGAGACAGCCCTTCCATCTATGAGCCTGTAAAATAAAAAACAAGTTAGTTACTTCCAAGATACAACAGGGTTACAAGCATTGTGTAAATACTCCTATTCCAAAGGTGAAAAACAGCCAAAAGAAAGAGGTTACAGGCCCCTTGCAAGTCTGACATCCAGTAGGGTAGTCATTAAGCCTTAAAATAATCTCCTTCAACTTCATGTCTCACATCCAGGGCACACTGGTGAAACAAGTGAGCCCCTAAGGCCTTGAACAACTTCACCCCTGTGACTTTGCAGGATTCAGCCCCCACAGCTGCTCTCAAAGGCTGGTGTTAAGTGCTTATGGCTTTTCCAAGCACACGGTGCATGCTGTCAGTGGATCTACCATTCTGAGGTCTGGAGAATGGTGGCTCTCTTCTCACTGCTTCACTAGGTAGTGCCCCAGTGGGGACTGTGTGTGGGGGCTACAGTCCCACATTTCCCTTCCACACTGCCCTAATAGAGGTTGTCCGTCAGGCTTCCCCCTTGCAGCACGCTTCTGCCTGGAGACCCCAGGCTTTTCCATACATCCTCTGAATCTAGGCAGAGGCTCCCAAGCCTCAACTCTTGCACTCTGTGCAGCTGCAGGCTTAACACCACGTGGAAGCCATCAAGGATTATGGCTTGCATTCTCTGAAGCAGCAGCCTGAGCCATACCTGGGCTCCTTTTAGCCACAGCTGGAGCTGGAGTGGCATAGATGCAGGGAGCAGTGTCCCAAGGCAGCACAGGGCGTTGGGGCCCTGGGCCTGGCCCACGAAACCATTCTTCCCACCTAGACCTCCAGGCCTTTGATGGGAGGGGCTGCTGCAAAGGTCTCTGAAATGCCTTGGAGGCCTTCTCCCCATTGTCTTGGATGTTAGTACTTGGCTTCTCTTTACTCATGCAAATTTCTGCAGCTTGCTTGAATTCCTCCCCTGAAAATAGGCTTTTCTTTCCTACCACAGTGACCAGACTGCAAATTTTCCAAACTTTTATGTTCTGCTTCCTTTTAAATATAAATTCAAGTTTTAGGTCATTTCTTTGCTCACACAAATGAGCACAGACAGTTAGAAGCAGCCAGGCCACATCTTGAATGCTTTGCTGCTTAGAAATTTCTTCCACCAGATATCCAAAATCATCTCCCTCAAGTTTAAAATTCCACAGATCTCTAAGACAGGGGCACAATGCTGCCAGGCTCTTTGCCAAAGCATAGCACAACCTCAATCCTGTCTGAGACCTTATCAGCCTGGACTTCATTGTCCATATCACCATCAGCATTTTGGTCACAACAATTTAACACGTCTCTAGGAAGTTTCAAACTTTCCCTCACCTCCCTGTCTTCTTCTGAGCCCTCTGCACTCTTCCAACTTCCACCTGTTACCCAGTTCCAAAGCTTCATCCACATTTTCATGTATCTTTAGAGCAATGCCCCACTTCTTGGTACCAATTCTCTGTGTTAGTCTGTTCTCACACTGCTGTAAGGAAACACCCATAACTGGGTAACTCATAAAGAAAAGAGGCTTAATTGTCTCACGGTTCCACAGGCTTCCTGTATAGGAAGCATAGTGGCTTCTGATTCTGGGGAGGCCTCAGGAAATATACAATCACAGTGCAAGGCACAGGGGAAGAAAATGCATCTTACGTGGCCAGAGGAGGAGGAAGAGAGACATGGGGGAGGTGCCGCACACTTTAAACAAGCAGATCTCATAACTCACTCACTCACTATCATGAGAGCGACACTGAGGGGATGGTGCCAAACCGTGCGTATGACCCCTGCCCCCAATATCCAATCACCTTGAACACTGGGGACTTCAATTTGACATGAGATTTGGTGGGAACATGGATCCAAACTACATTACAATCTTCATTTAGAAAAATTAATTTCCATAAGTACTTGGCACCCTATTTTATTCTGAGCCTTCCGTTCTGCTCCACTGGTCTGTTCTCTGTGCACTGGCTTCTCACCATTTCTGTCACAGAGCTTGATGTAGGCTGTAGCGTCTCCACCGGCCCCCTTGTTGGGAGTTTTTTCTGTGTTTCCTGGCTGTTCTTGCTTGTTTGTTTTTCTATATGACGTTTAGTATCTGTTTGTCTAGATCAATAGAAAATTGGCGTTTTTATTGGGATTGCACTAAATGTATAAAGCGTGTATGGAAAATGTTCAATGGTGTGGAGTCATCCTGTTCAAGAGCAAAGGCTCCCTTCCATTCAATGACCTCAGCCTCATGTCTTCCAGAGGGTTTTAAGGTTTCCCATATAAGGTTTGCACACTTCTTGTTAAACATTCCTAAGTAGTCCACTCTGTTGTTTTAAATGGAGAGCTCTGAGATTTAGCTGTTGAGAATTATTTAAATGAAAAACAACCTTTCTTGATTAGCATTTGTAAACCTATCCTGTAGGGAGAGCCTCTGATTAAAAGCATATGAAAAGTAGGTCAGGGAATCAGAGGTCTGGCCCTGGCTCCAGTAGACACTTGTGTGTAATCCCCAGGAAAGCTGTGGTGTCACCCATAAAATGGGATGCAGTGTCTATTCTGGCGAATGATTGAGAAGATGAAGTAGAAGAGAACAAAGTGCCACAGGAAGTGGGTGATATGCTTGGGCTGTGTCCCCACCCAAATCTCATCTTGAACTATAGCTCCCATAATCATCATTTATCATGGGAGGGACCCAGTGGGAGGTAATTGAATCATGGTGGCGGGTTTTTCCTGTGCTGTTACTGTGATAATGATACATGCAGGAGGCAGATAAGGGGGAGGGTCCTTGGAGAATCTCCAATCCACCAACGTGCTGGGAGAATGGGGGTGGAGCCATAGAAATTCAAATTTTGTGCAAGGGGGAGGAGCTTGGCCTTTTCAGCTTGTGTGTGGTGGCCTGGAATTCAATCTGCAATGTGGGAGAATGTGGGAGCCTGCTGGAAGGATCCCCTTCTTCTTTGCTGAGAGTTTTTTCCTTTTTTTCTCAACAAATTCCATTCCCCTCACTCTTCAATATGTCTGCATGCCTAACTTTTCCTGGTCGTGACATAAGAACCTGGATTTAAGAGCTAAATTCTGCATCAATAGTGAATAAGTCTCACAGGATCTGATGGCTTCATAAAGGGCAGTTCCTCTGCACATACTCCCTTTCCTGCCACCATCTGAGACATATCTTTGCTCCTCCTTCACCTTCCGCCACGATTGTGAGGCTTCCCCAGCCATATGGAACTGTGACTTCATTAAACCTCTTTTCTGTTATAAATTACCGAGTTGTGGGTATGTCTTTAGTAGCAACAAGGAATGAACTAACACAACAAATTGGTACTGCAGAGAGTGGGGTCCTGCTGTAAGGACACCCAAAAATGTGGAAGTGACTTTGGAACTGGGTCACAGGCAGGGGTTGGAACAGTTTGGAGGGCTCAGAAGAAGACAGGAAAATGTGGGGAAGTTTGGAACTTCCTGGAGACTTGTTGAATGACTTTGACCAACATGCAGATGGTGATATGAACAGTAAAGTCCCGGCTGAGGGGGTCTCAGATAAAGATGAGGAACTTGTTGGGAACCGAAGCAAAGGTGAGTCTTGCTATACTTTAGCAAAGAGCCTGGTGGCATTTTGCCCCTGCCCTAGAGATCTCTGGAACTTTGAACTTGAGAGAGATGATTTGAGGTATTTGGCAGAAGAATTTTCTAAGCAGCAAAGTGTTTGAGAGGTGACAGAGCACAAAAGTTTGGAAAATTTTCAGCCTGACAATGGTAGAAAAGAAAGACCCATTTTCTGGGGAGAAATTCAGGCGGCTGCAGAAATTTGCATACGTAACTAGGAGCCAAATGTTAATCGTCAAGACAATGGGGAAAATATCTCCAGGACATGTCAGAGACCTTTGTGGTAGCCCCTCCCATCACAGGCCCAGAGGCCTAGGAGGGAAAAGTGCTTTCATGGACTGGGTCCAGGATTCCCCTGCAGTGTCCAGCCTTGGGACACTTGGGACAGTGTCCCAGCTGCTTCAGCTCCAGCCATGGCTAAAAGGGGCCAAGGTACAGCTCAGGCTGTTGCTTCAGAGGGTGCAAGCTCCAAGCCTTGGCAGCTTTCACATGGGGTTGGGTGTGCAGAAGACAAGAATTAAGGTTTGGGAACCTCCAACTACATTTCAGAGGATGTATGGAAACATCTGAATGTCCAGGCAGAGGTGTGCTGTAGGGGCAGAGCCCTCATCAAGAACCTCTGTTAGGGCAGTGCAGAAGGAAAATGCAGGGTCAGAGTCCCCACAGAGAGTCCCCACTGGGCACTGTCTAGTATGAGAAGAGGGTCACCATCCTCCAGTCTCCAGAAGGGTAGATCCACTGACAGCTTGCACCATGAACCTGGAAAAGCCACAGACAATGCCAGCCCGTGAAAGCAGCCAGGAGGGAGGCTGTGCCCTGCAAAGCCACAGGGGTGGAGCTGCCCAAGGCTGTGGAAAACCGCCTCTTTCATCAGCATGACCTGGATGTGAGACATTGAGTCAAAGGAGATTATTTTGGAACTTTAAGTTTTAATGACTGCCCTAATACATTTGGGACTTGCCTTGTCTCAGATGAGACTTTAGACTGTGGACTTTTAAGTTAATGCTGAAATGAGTTAAGACTTTAGGGTACTAATGGGAAGGTATGATTTGTTTTGAAATGTGAGGACATGAGCAGGGCCAGGGGTGGAATGACATGGTCTGGCTGTGTCCCCACCCAAAATCTGATCTTGAATTGTAGCTTCCATAATCCCCACATGTCACAGGAGGGACCCGGTGGGAGGTAATGGAATCATGGGGTGAATGTTTCCAGTGCTGTTCTTGTGATAGTGAATAAGTCTCATGAGATCTGATGGTTTTATAAAGGGCAGTTTCCCTGCACACACGTCTTGCCTGCTGCCATGTAAGATGTGCCCTTGCTCCTCCTTTGCCTTCCACCATGATTGTGAGGCCTCCCCAGCCATGTGGAACTGTGAGTGCATTGAATCTTTTTTCTTTTTATATATTACCCAGTCTTGGGTATGTCTTTATTAGCAGTGCGAGAACAGATGAACACAGTGGGCTCTTCACGTAGTCTCCTGAAGTATTCACTTCCAGGCCCTTAGAAAAACTGAGCTGCACATCATGTGATGGTTAGGGGTGTCTCTCTACTGGTCATGAGAGGATACAGACTGGCACCTCCCTGTGTCCCCTGAATGAACTGCTCACAACAGGTCATGCTGGGTGACCCTCCCAGGGCCTCCCGTGCCAGGCTCACACTCACCATCTTGGGGAGGACAATGTGACCCACACTGGCCTTCCCTTGGGGCCTTCCTCACTCTCTGTCTTGGATGTAGCCTCAGCTGTCAGTGCCAGTGTTCCTGGGATGTTTGGCAAGGGCAGGCTTCTGGGTTGCACCCAGAACAAGAACCAGAGCTTCAGGTGGCATGCCTCGGACTCTGCAGCACTGCAAGGCCAGCGGTTCCTGCACATTCCAGGTTCCCAGCACCACGGCTGCCGCCTAAGCAGTGGGGAGAGGTGTTAAGACCAGTCATGGAAAGAATGTCCAGAGTGCAATCCGGAAGGGCAGGGGCAGTCAGCATGGACTTTCTGGGAGAGGGTTCCTGGCTGCAGTGAGGGCCTGGGGTGGGCCAGAAAGGATGCATCTCCTCGTGCTGCCACAGCACAGGTGGCTTCCTGTGATTCTGAGCTTGGATGGAAACAGACTTTCAGGACAGACTCTGTGTTGTTTTACTGTTTTGGGAAGTGCTGTAATGCTCTCCTTAGCAAACTTCACTGTAACATCACTCTTCTCAACAGTGTTACAGAGCCTGGGGCCTGGAGCCGTCTCCTGCTTGGTGTAAGGTCCCGGAGGAGCCATCTCCTGCTTGGTGTAAGGTTCCGGAGGCAACCCAAGTTGATGTGCATCTGTGCAGGCTGTCATTCCCCCTGTGGCGGAGCAGCCCAGCACACAGATATTCCGCATTTTACTCTCTCACTTGTTTTGGGGAACCTGTGGAGTGGAGATGTTATGAAGAGGGTGCTGTGAATGTCGTTTCTGGTGCACACACGTTCACATTTCTCTTGACCACATGTCTCGGAGTAGAAACTACGAAGCCACAGACATGCATCCTTAGCTTCAGGAGACGATATTCCTCTTCCGGAGGAGTTGTGCACCTCCAGCAGCCATCGCTGAAAGTTCCATTTGCTGCACATCTTCTGTCCAAGGGCAACCTCTGCCTGTTCCATTTCAGCTGTCTGGAGGCCGTGCAGCAGCAGTTCCACGCAGTGGTTTAAATTTGCATGCTTGTTAATGGGTCGAACACCTTTGCATCTATGTTTGCTGCTCGCGGACTTCTCGTGTCTCCTGGAGGATCTGAGCAAGTCTTCTTCTCACTGGCCTCTTGTTTTTTCTTCTTATTTGCACATCCAGAGGCTCTGTGTCAGAACCATGTATTGTGAATGTTTTGTCTTGCTAGTTCTTTATTTCATCGTTATCAGCGTCTTTTATGGTTAGTGTTTTTGTGACCCAGGTATAACTCTTGCCCACTGCAAGCTGTGGAAGCTCTTCTCCAGTGTGTACAACTGTTTTGTTTAAAAAAAAAAAAAAGAACAGAAGAATGAGACCCAGAAAGGAAATTTAACAAAGTGTCAGCATTGGTTACCTCTGGATGGTAGGAAATGAGTGATTCTCATTTTTCTTCCCTGGAGTTATGGATTTTTACTGTTTTGGGCAGGGCTGTGGTGCTCTCCGGGGGTGATTGTCTTGACAAACTTCACTCCAACACCATTTTTCTCAACAGTGCAGCAAAGCCATGCCAAGTCCGGGGCCCAGAGTCATGGATCCAGCACCCCCCAGTGAGAGGACAGCACCCACCTGCTCCTCAGTCACCAAGCATGGTGCTGCCTTCTCATTATCGTTCACACCTGCTCCTTCCTCATCCAACCGTTTCTCTTTTGCACACCTGCTACTTTCCCTTTTCGCCTCTTAGACCTCCAGTTAATCTTCCATGCTCCCCTGTAGAGGAGCCTTCTAGAACACAGCCCCTATCTTGAAGTTGCCCTGACTGACAGTGACAGAAAGTGCCCAGAGCCTATAGAATTGGTTCAAATCCTTCAGACTGGGGCTTTTACAACCCGGGCTCTTACCTCCCACCAGCTGCTCCTCCCCCAGGTACCTTCTGCTCCAGTTGCAGTGGAAAACCAGGCACCCTTCCCTCCAGTTTTATGGGATATGAGGAAATTCTGTTAGGTTTACAGAACAATTTAATGAAAACTGGTAAAGTAAATAAGCAAGAAGCCACTAGCCTGAGCCTATTTTTATACTCTGAGTTACATAATGAACTGCAATCTAACATACTACATAAACAAGCTAAAACCTAACTTAGCAGTAAAACAAACAGCTGAGTTTCAACAAATTGTGAAAAGTCAGGTTTCAGCCAATTACAGGCAGTGAACTCATCACATCACACCCAAATAAGGCAGAGACCTAACTGTGGCCAATTAAGTGATTTCTCTACTTTGGTTCTGTGTTTTGCCTATAAAACCACTGTCATGCTGCTGTGTGCAGCTCTCTAAACCTCTTTTAGTTCTAAATGCTGCCCAATGCATGAATCATCCTTTGCTCAAATAAACTCTTTTAAATTTAATTTGTCTAAAATTTTTCTCATGACAGTTTGGTGTCAGAAGTGGGATCTGAAGGCACTCTCCAATGACCCCTAGAAGCACTGAGTGACCACGTGAAAGAGCCTTACAGGTCCATGCACCTGTTGCAATTGGAGGTTGTGGATTAATTCTCTTCTGTCTTTGAGCTCCACAAATTTCTGTTTTGAGCTCTTTGGCTTTATTTGAGCAATTTTTTCAGTGGACTGGGTCCATGGTTGAATCAGATCCAATAAGAAGTTAGATAAGGGTCAGTCGCAGGCCTCCAGAATGTAAGGTTACTAGAAGATGAATCATGCACTCATCTGGATCCAAGGAGTCTGGAAATTTCTCCATCTGGAACTCTTGCCAATTTCAGGTATAAGAACTACAATAAAATAATAAAACAAAACAATACAAAAAAAGAACTCCAGACCCAGAACCTGTGCTTTTCTAGAGAAATGAGTGGCCACAATAGGAACCTCCGTATGAAAGGCAGACAGGCCTGTGTCTCTACAGCCACAATGGCTGCTGGGAACAGGAAGACCTCCTTGTACATATTTTAAATCAAAGCCTACAGGTCCCAAACTAAAGAACTCTGTGCCCTGAAATGTCTGCCTTCATTGTAAACATCCGAACACTGGGAAAGAAACTGCACCCACCATCTGATGGGTCCACTACCTCTGACCTAGTCTGTTTCCCCACTAGAGGAAGCTCCGGTGGGCTTGAGTTCCAGGACAATCATCAGCTAATTCTTAAGAGGAAAAACACTACTTCTGTGGTGGACACAGAAATAGTCCAATTTCAAATACTGAACTTTCAAATGAAACCCAGAAGTTTCCCATATCTGAATCTGTCCAAATGACACTTGGAACATTTTCAGAAAAACGTTTTTTAGAAATTAGTTGGTTCTGTTTTCTCTATTTGATCCTGCTTCTCCCATAGGAATCTCTCAGTCAACGAAAGTCTTCTCTGACTCCTGCTGACTCTGTGCTCTGCCCGCTCTGTCTAGCAATTTCTTGTCATGGTCTGTACTATGCCTCCAAACTCCTTTTTTTTCTTGTGAAAAAAGCCCTGGCTGGTCTGTTATTCAATCTTGAAAACCAACAAAAATAAAAAATGAACCAGTCTCTGACTATAAGGCAAGATTAGAAGCGACTGTGCTGAATGCAGGCATAGGAAATGCTTGTCCCATTCTGTAGTGGGCTCTGCCTTGAACTTAGTGATCAAGCCCAAACACTCAAGCTGGGTTGGAGAAGTGGTGACAGAGCCAAATTCGTTTCTAGTATATATTCCTTCTGGCATAGGACTGTTTTCAGCTGGTTATTTTGAAATGCTTTGTAAGAACAATTCACATCAATAAATGAAACTTCCATTTCTTTCTTTCTTTTTTTTTTTTTTTTTTGAGACAGGGTCTTGCTCTGTCCCCCAGGCTGGAGTGCAGTGGTATGATTGCAGATCACTGCAGCCTCGAACTCCTGGGCTCAGTCTGTCCTCCCGCCTCAGCCTCCCAAGTAGCTGGGGCTACAGGTGTGCACCACCACGCCTGGCTAAGTTTCGTATTTTTTTGTAGAGATGGGCTCTCACTATGTTGCCTAGGCTGGCCTCCAACTCCTGAACTCAAGTGATCCGCCTGCCTCAGCCTCTCAAAGTGTTGGGATTACAGGAGTGAGCCACCGCCCGCTGAAACCTCCAATTTTAAAGGGCATCTCTGTCTTTGTGTTGGGAGGAGAAGGGGACCTGAGTCACTGGACACTCCCACGCTGGAGACAGTGCTGGCTGACTCTCCACAGCAGGCCTCACCATTGTTTAGGTGCTTTTTCTGTCCGCATCATCGTAACTGGGCCTTTTCAGGGATGAAGTACTTTATTATTCACAGCAATATCAGTAGCTGGAATTTTAGCATTTTTTTTTTTTTTTACAGAGTATCGGCGTACTTTTCACACCAGTTTCCGAGCGCTGTTTCCCAAACAGTGACATAGAGTGGGTCTATGACATCTGCACACAGTGGACTGCATGACAGGAGAGGAACCTTGCGCTCAGGGACTGTGAATCTTCTACAATGGACAGTAAGCATGCCTGCTCTTTGCTTTGCAG